TGATTTTTATTTAAAAAAATAACATAATGAGTATTTAATACTGAAAAAGTATTATTTTATAATTTTTATTTAATAAAAAGACACGTAATAATAAGCGTTTAATGCAGAATGTTTCATTCGATGCTTGAGTATGTTCGGAATTAAAAATATTGAAATCAGTATTCTTTGGGGGGGTTGAATGGTGGTGAATATTTATATAAAATCCATCTATTCATGTATAAAGAATTTAAAATTATATTAGATTAGCATCATTCTTTATGCAAATAAATCCATAAATTTTTTAAATTCTATGATTATAGCCTCTTGTAAAGGAATTTAACATACATACATACGGCATAAAGTCTGTTTTATGTAGGTCATATAAATTGCTAAACTTAATAAAGACTGAATTTTGATACTTGGCTTTGTTTACGAGATTTATAATATCTTTAACTATCGTTAAATTTTCAAATTTAAATTTCCGAACATAACATAATTTCGTTTTCCAATTATAATATATTCAGCAGCAAGCGAAGTATGTATATATTTCTACAGCTGATGTAATTCGACATTGCATTTCAAACGAGGTCAAATTGCGATAGGCTATGTTTCTTTAAATACTCTAAAAAGAAAGAAATTCAAAGGCGATCTTGATGGCGAATGGTGGCGCTGCAAGATCTGCGTATTATGATCAAGTACAATCATATATAAAAAAACATTATTAAGTAAAACATTTTTTCTCTCTGACATATTTCTTTAATTTATATTTTTTTATATTACGATTACAGTTTAATGGAATATTAAGTATTTGAAAATAATTCGTGATAAATTTAAACATTGTATCTCTTACAACTCTTCACATTTCGATAAGAATGTTCCTGATACCTAACGTGATGTAGCATTTAATCCGTCAACATGCGTGACGCCTCACATATAAGAAAATGCAAACAATTTATATCAATGTACGATGTAAGTTATCGTCGCTCACGAATATTTATTAATCTAATAAAAGGAGGATAGATAAATTCGTGGTTATCGATAGTATAAGTATGTGAAATCGTATGCTCTTATCTATCAATTTCGAGAAATTTGATGTTTATTTACACGCTTCTCGAAATGTTGTATTATTCCGTGATTTAAGTGCCTCGCAATTCCCATCTAACACAATTCCCGCCTATGAAAATCTCTGGAATGCTAAAACATTTGTCTACTAATAATCGAGATAGTAGTCGCTATCGTGAATTAATCACGAGTGTAAGACTCAATGTCATATTAGTAAACCGATAATTGTAAGTTAGAATAAGAAGCACTCGGAGACAATTTACTCGGAGACCTTTACTTAAATAATTTCAAAACAAACTATTTGAATGTTATAAAAACATATATTCGTTTAACAATCACATTTGAATCTTCCGCTGAGAGATTGAATTATAAAAGAGTCGATAATTATAAGTTATAGTACGAAGCATTCAAAGATTTAAGATCCTTACTTAAACGATTTCAAATCAACAAATCAACTATTTGAATGTTATCAAAAAATATATTTGTTTAACAATTGTTTGAATTTTTTGCCAAGAGATTGATTATATTGTATTATAAAAGGACGAATAAATATTTATTATATTTATTATATTATTTATACTATTTATTATATTATATTGGGTCTATGCATAATTCCGTAGCGAAATTCCGACAGATGTCATTCGCAGTTGTTGTTTTTCCGCTCGCACGTGTGTCAAACATATGAAGTGTCGTACATTAAGTGAAAGCTGAAATTTGTGCCGACATTTTAAGAAAGTATTCATCGAGATCCGTGACGTATACGAAGTTTAATTATATTTTGAACATGGAAGGAAAAAACAAGGTGTACTTTCGGTGTATTTCGCTTTTTTATTTCCGAAAAGGCAAAAACGCAAAGTCGCAAACTCACAAAAAGATATGCGTCGTGTAGACGGAGAGAATGTCGTAAGCGAAAGTGTGTGTCGGAAATGGTTTGCGAAATTTCGTTGCGGAGATTTTCATCTCCAAGATGCTTCTCGCTCTGGTCGGCCAGTCACTACTGATGTCGATCAAATCAAGGCTTTAATCGAACTCCAACCGGCACCTGACGACTACAAAGATTGGACATAATCTCAACACTGATCAATCAACTGTTTCGAGACACTTACGGAAGCTTGGGATGGTAAATAAGCTTGATGTTTGGATCGCCGCACGAACTGAGCGAAAAGAATTTAATCGACCGAATTTCATTCGCTTGCGATTCGCTGCTCAAACGCCATCAAAACGAACCATTTTTAAAGCGGATGATGAAATCACGGGCGATGAAAAGTGGATTGTCTACAACAATGTCAGTCGTAAAAGATCATGGTCGAAGCGCTCAGAGGCTGCTCAGACGGTCGCAAAGGCTGGATTACACCCGAAGAAGATCATGCTCAGTATTTGATGGGATTGGAAAGGAATCGTCTATTATGAACTGTTGCCACCCGACAAAA